AACAAATTTCTTCCGTTTGCCACGTTATTTATATAGACCTAGGTAGATTTTAAAAAGTGGCACAGGTACAATTAATAATATATTAGTTCGGCATAAAAGTTGCTGTCACGACATTGAACAATAAATTAAAATTCGTAAAATAAATTAAAATTATTAATTAAACAAATCTTTATAAAGAAACGCAAGTATACCAAATTTGGGCCCAATCGAACTCCAGGAAATGATAGTTATTAGAAATTTCCAAAAAAATTAGAAATCATAATAGTGTACTATATTATGGTACAACTTGATATGCTTTAAGGTACCATAATATTGCAATGTCATCGAAGATCCGTAGTATACCAAATTTAAAAACAATCGAACGCCATGAAATGGTATCGTAATATGGTACTATATTACGGTACCACTTTATATACATCATAGTACAATCATATTACAATGTAACCGAAGATACGTAGTATACCAAGTTTAAGCCCAATCGAACGCCAGGAAATGGTATCGTAATCTGGTACCTCTTATTATGCTCCATGGTACCATAATATTACAATATCACCGAAGATACGTAGTATCTTAAATTTAAGCCCAATCGAACGCCATGTACATAATATGGTACTATATTATGGTACCAGTTGATATGCTTCATGGTACAATAATAATGCAATGTCATCAAAAATACGCAAGTATATATCAAATATGAGCTCAATCGAACGTCAGGAAATGGTATTGAAATATGGTACTATTTTAAGGTACCACTTTATATGCATCATAGTACCATCATATTACAATGTCACCGAAAATACGTAGTATAGCAAGTTTAAGCCCTATTGCCGCCATGTACCTAATATTGCTATGTCATCAAATATGGTACTATAGAAGGTACCACTTTATATGCTCCATGGTACCATGATATTACAATGTCACTGAAGATATAGTATATCAAGTTTAAGCCCAATCGAACGCCATGTATCGTAATATGGTACTATATTATGGTATCACTTGATATGCTTCATGGTACCATAATATTATAATGTCATGAAAAATAGTATATATCAAATACCGTATGATACCGAAAAAAACGGCGTCTAGTTGGCTGGAAAAGGACGATCGATAACATTTCCCAAATAAATTTATATATAAAATGACAGCGATATTCATTTCATAGCCATCGCTAACGCCGTTTTTTCCTGATTATACGATATGAACTTGGTATGAACACAATCGAACGTCAGGAAGTGGTATCATAATAGTAGAACAATACTTATTATATTGTCGCCGAATTACAATGAAAATTCAGGATTCAATTATACAATCAAACGTCAGGAAGTGATTGTAATTTAGCTCATAAGATTTAATTCCAACTAACATTGCAAATTTAAAAAAAACAGCTCTGATCTATTTTAATATGTTTAAATGATGTAGCAAATTTGAAGGTAGGCTTTATCAGGAAGTATTACGATATTAATTACACAATGGCAACACTGCACAAAATTCTTTTAAATTTTGTTTGTAGAAAACTGTTATTGTTAAATTTAAGAAATGTGACAATTTGGTGCAGAACTGGGTAGATTTAGAAAAAAACGGGCTTAGATGTTAATATTTTATTCTACACAAACTTTAGTCAATACTTTTTAGGTTTTAGTTAATTATAAGAAATAAGACTGCTGGTATATTTGTGTAGAAGATACTATGTAATAGCCTAGAAGACTAAAATACGATAATTTATTCAAAAACTAATTTATTATTTTTAATTCATGTTAGTTATTTTTTTTTTGAAAAGTTTTTAAACTATTAAAATTGTTTGTTTTTTAGTCACTTCTCTGAAATAATTGTATTTTAACTATTTTTTATTTATTTATTATATTATTGTGTAAGTCTATATTCTTGCCTATAAACTCCCTTAACTATGGAAATTACTACAAACGCCACCATAATGTGATATAAACAAAATTATATACAGGGTGTTTCAATATTCCGTGGACATAGAACTACTACATATTTTTGCAATCAAAATAAGTTCATTGGACACAATTTACCTCTATACAAAAGTGCTTCGTTTGTCTGCTAGAGGGCATCAAACTTTAAGAAAATACAAAAATAAAAATATATTAAAGATATCTGAAAAAAAATGTGTTTATTTTTTGATTCCAAAAATACAAAGTAGTTGTATGTCCACGGAATATTGGAACACCCTGTATATATACAATCTTACTATATTTAATTAATGACAATAATTTATAAATATGTTTAAGTATAAAACAATAAGTTATACCGTGAGATAATAGAATAAAGAAAAAACTGTAAGTTTTTAAAAGAATTTTATTTCAAAAGCAGTACCTATACCTGTGCGTAATATATACATCTCTAAAATTATCTATGCTAATAAGCTAAATTAATTATTTGTATTTACAGTCTATGATATGTTGTATTTACGAACTCCTAGTAATCTATGTTATTAGCCTCTGGAATATTATTTTATTTGGACGGAAATACTCTATTTTTGAGTCTAATTTAACACTACTTTACTATTAAATCTAAGTCGCTTACTTAAAATAATCTATACAATTATTAATATAAATAATAATATTAATGTTTGTTCTAAGTAATTAATATAATTACTTTTACTTAGTATTGCCAACTTCTACAGGGTGAGTCTTAAATAAGTGCAAATATTTTTATGGGTGGTATATTTCGACCCCAGAAACAATATTATGAGTAGAATTTTAACAAACATAATTTCTTGATAATAATATGGCAACATAGGTAGTAGATTAATTTACAGGAAAGGAAACCCAGAAAAGGTTCTCAAAATTTAAACAAAACATTTTTTTTCGGAAATTTTCAAAATAAAATAACTCGCTTATTTTGGGCTTATTTGAAAAACGGCAAAGAGAAAATATGTTTATTTTAGCGAGATCTACCAGCCCTGAAAATATTTGCACTGATTTATGATCCACCCTGTATAAAATTTTACAATCTGCATGTCAACAGGAACTATGTAAACATAATTAAGGTGATAAGATGGCGCCCGTCTAAATTTAGCTAGATTTAGCTAGTGGAAAAAACGATGTGTGATAAACCGAAAATACTGTTTATCACCAATCAGAAAAAAATAAATAACAAATATAATGAATTTAAATCCGGGAGTCTTTTAAATTAATCACATACAAATAGGATAATAAAATATTTTATGTACACTTTCTCAAAACTAAAACAATAACTATAATAATCTTTGAGCCACAATAGGCCCTCGCGGGAGGGTCCAACCTGGGACGCACTCTTAGTCAAATACAATACAATAATAATCTTTGACCGAGGGGTAAACCGCAGAGGAATTATGGTGTACACTATGAAGGAATTCTATAGGAATTCCAAGGAATTACGAGGAATTCCAAGGAATTCCATAGAAATTACTAGGAATTCCAATTATTTCCGTAAGAATTCCAATGAATTCCAAGGAATTCCTTAGAAATTTAGAGGAATTCCACAGGAATTAAGAGGAATTACAAGCAACTTTATAAAAAATTAACGAACATTAGTAAACCATGAATACTATAATAGGTAGTACTAAATTTAAAGAAAAACGTTTTGCAGGCGATTTTTTACTATCCGTTTTTCGTTTCGCTTCCAAAATTTCCCAATATCAAATATCTACAGGTTAGATATTCTTTTAATTTAATATTGTACCCTCGATTATATATCTAAAATATTTTCCAATAGTACGGCCGAACCACCCCCGAGAGATCTACTTATAACGTTCCCTGATTTCGCCATTTTAAAGAAACCCTCATAAGATTTTTTTTATTCAGTACTCAGAAAGTGTAAAGTTGATTTTTTTTCATTTCCTCGGAATAATACCTAGGTATATACTACAGGGAAATTAATACAACTTTAGGTGCACTTCATCAATGATACCATGCGTAATCTTATGGAATTTACTGGTGATCGTATTATGACGTGCAACTGAAGTTTTATTAATTTCCTTTCCTATATATACGAGTATAACTAGGTACCTATCATTTTCAAAAAATCCCGAGAAAAAATAATTTTAATAAGTAAGTGCCGACATATTTCCAGTATTTTTACCTCATGATCCCCTATTAGTCCTAAAATTTAATTAAAAAAACGTAAATCTCGTAATAGTACTTTTTATTGTTAGATCTAGTACTTATAGAGACATTACACATTTATAAAAATCACCAGAAAATTCATAGCGGAACTGCGAAACCGAGGTGGCAACGCTGGTTCAGACTGAAAGAGTTACCGAGTTCGTACCAAGAAATTCCAAGGAAGACCTTGAATGATTGACCTTGACCTTGAAGACCAGGAATTCCAAGGAATTCCGAAGGAATTACGAGGAATTCTGAGGAATTATTTGAGTAAAAGGAATTACGGTGTACACTTTTCCCTCTGCGGTTTACCCCTCGTCTTTGACTTAACCTGAGGGTTGAGACTGGCGTGGTGAATTTACTGGACTGGCGCGCTGGGGTCTGACGGACCCCAATTTTTTTTCAGTTTAAAATACATGATGAAGAGATTTTATTAGATACTTAGATATTAGTGGTAGTTAGTGTTGCACAAGACAAGAATTCTTGTCTTGAAAATCAATTTCTTGTCTTGTCTTGAAATTCAAGACAAGAAATTTTCAAAGTCTTGTCTTGCAGATTTCTTGAATGGCAAAGTCTTGTCTTGTCTTGCAAGACTCTTGAAATTTCTTGTCTTGAAAAATTTTACATTCTTTATTACAGTTTTTTTATAATACCAATTACCAATATACGGTTTATTGCCTCGACTTTATTTTATTTCATTCTTAATTCTGAAACACTGGCTATGATAAAAAAAATGAACACTGGTCAATATTAATGCCGGGTTTGTACAACATTTGCATAATTCGTAATCATAATCACAGTCTTAATCATCGTCCAAATCGCAACGCAATTTTAATGTGCGTTTATAGAACATTTTCATAATCATATTTTTTATATCAGTGAAGTTGGGTAACATAATTAAAAGCTAAGTTCATGGAAGATGTCAACAGGTTTATAAGAAGTGGATAGTTTAACTTTTATGATTATGATTATGATTATGATTGTGATTACGACTATATAAATGTTGTACAAACCCAGCATAACTTGCGGAAAGACCTAATTATCGCTTAAAAAATGTATCATTTCTAACTTTCAAAAAATCTTGAATTCAAGTAAACTTGCAAGACTCTTCAAATTTCTTGCATATTAAAGTCTTGTCTTGAAATTCAAGACAAGAAATTTTGAAAGTCTTGTCTTGAACCTCTTGCATGAGTCTTGGTTTTGTAAGACTTTTTCAAGACTCTTGTGCAACACTAGTGGTAGTGCGTCTTATTGGGCTTACATCTTAATTGCCACTTTGTCGTACTCTAGTTATTCTAATACTTGGCAATCATGTAAACACTATACCTTCTTTCATTTAAGATCACAGACGAATAATTAATAAATTCCCTAAAACTTTTATACACTTCAATGTACATAGTCTATAGATCTTCTGTGACTGCTGGCTCTCGATCGATTATGTCTTTGTTTCTTCAGCACTAGTAGAATACAAGTCAGCGTCACCATAGTGGCTAGAAGCGTGCCGTACTTCAAGCCCAACTCTATGTTCTTCACGGTGAAGGTGATTTGATATAAAGCTGTGGTGAAATCTATTGGCAATTGACTAGGTTCTACACCCTGAAATTAACAAAAAAAAAATAAAAAAACTGTAAGTGTAAAATATATTTTGGACTGGAAAGGTCGGGTATTTATGAGATTTCATGTAAAGATTGTAATCAGAAATATGTTATATATTTTTATGATTATAGTATTAGTTTGTAGATAAATTTGTTGCCGTTATTTTTTATTATTTTAATGGCTTATATATTTCGGTTAGGTGGGTTTATACCGGGTTAAATCAAAACTTCGTTTTTTGCAAAAAATCTAAAACAGCCTGTGGAAAAAATGGGGCGGGTATTTTGGATAAAAAACACTTTCCTGTAATCTTAGGTGTATTCCTAACGTTTCATTTTTTGAATTATCCCATTATCTTTATTCATTTATGAGCTACACATTTTTAAATAGTGTACTGATATTTTCACAATCTTGAATTTCTTGAAAACGGAGCTCTCAATGCCCACCGTTATATTGAGGATGTCCACCAAGAAGTTGTCGTTCCACTTGCTACTTTCATTGGAAGTCAGATTACACTGGTGCATGATAATGCCATATAATGCCAGGTCCCACGTTGCGCGGGGTAACGAATTAGAAGTACGAGTAGTTAACGAGTACCTGGATGAGGTTAGATTACGAAGACTGGAACTTAAAAGAGCTGTTCGTCGTCGTCCTATTCCAACACAAAGTTTACAAGAGCTATAGCTAGCATTAACGGAGCTAGCTTTACCTCTTGTAAATGGTATTCATCAAGCTATAGATTATAGATCAAGAAAGAATAACTACCCTTATTCATTCGATACGACGAAAACCTCGAGCTGTTATTGCTGCGAAAAGTGATGGACATACACGCTATTAAAATTATTATAAAATTGTTGTTTTTGTCAATAAAACAATCTCTAAAATCAATATTTTACTTAAAAATGTGTCGCTCATAAAAGAATAGAAATAATGTGATAATTCAAAGAATGAAATCTTAGGAATACATCTAAAAATTTATCCAAAATGCCCGTCTCATTTTTTCCACAGAGGGTTTTGAATTTATTGCAGAAAACAACGTTTTGATTTACCCCGGTATAAACCCACTTAACCGAAGAATATAAACCATTAAAAGAATAAAAAATAATGCTAATAAATTTATCTTCACACTGATACCGTAATCATAAAAATCGGAGTACAAAGTAAAAAGTTATGAACTTAGACAAATTTTAGTGTTTTATTTTGTTTTTTCTTGTTGGAACGGGAAAGAATGAAATCAACTTGATATTCAAAGGCAGATGATTGTACATTTTTTTGGCATTGTACAGTATTGAACCCTTAACTAGTTCTGAGCTCGGGGTTGGCAGATAAAGATCGTGCTCCGCATTCCTAAGTGGATAGTTGTGAGATGGCCTTTCGGGAATAGCAGATATGTGCTTGCGGATTAAGCAAACGGATTCAAAAATGAATAAAGAAGAAAGAGTCAGTATTTTGAAATTTTTAAAGAAATTCTGGCAGTGACTTCTACTGTTCAGTCTTCTACTGTTCAGTCTCTTTTGAAGTTTGAAAATACGATCAAATTTTGTCGCGCAGCAAGTACCCCAGAATGGAAGGGCATAACAAAGATGCGATTCAAAAGAAGCATAATAGACTATTCTAGAGGTTGATAAGTTAAGTTCCTTAAAAACCGATCTGAGCGCAAAACAGGCAGCGCTTAGTTTCTTTGATAAAGCTTCGATGTGCAAGTATCATTTTAACGAGTTGTCTACAACAAGTCCTAAGAATTTCACGAACGTCCACGACGTCAAGAGTGGTGTTATTAAGTACAAAAGGTTGTATAGTACTTTTATATGACAAAACTTTAGTTTTTGATAGGTTGAGGCAAAGATAATTCTAACTATAATATTCTTTGATTGAGGCATAGAAGATTGGAGATTAGAATCGCACCAAAATTTAATGGTGCGTAAGTCACTGGATATAGTATTATATAGCGCCGTAACATCTGGACCGCTCCGAGTGAAACTAGTATCGTTCGCGAAGAGGCAGATTTTACCGCTAATGTCTAGATTTGCAATGTCGTTGATAAACACCAGAAACAAATTATGCCCTTACCGTTTCCATCCACACCGTGGGTATCATCAACCTGTCTGGATAAGCGCTAAGTTGACCAATGCCGAAGCTTTTCTGCAACTCTATGTTGACCTGGAACTTAATCTTGCCTCCAACTAAAACTCCAAGGCTCGGATGAATGTTAGCGTATGTGTCGTTCATCAAAAAGTCATCTTTTAGACCGCTTATATTGGCTCTTAATTCTGGATCACCATTATAAAAGTGAGGCCAGGAATAATACAATGGAGCATCTGAACGAAATACAAATTAATAATTATTTTGGATCAAAAATTAACATGACATTGCCAAAATACTAGGAACAGTGGTATACCGGCTGCCTCTCAAAAGTGGCTCACTCTTATAACTTTTTTACTTTTTCAGATAAAAAAAAACGAGATTTGGTATGTAAGTATATGACATAAATTAGGATTGATTGACGTATTCAGTTGTTTTTGGTCACTTTCTGTTTTACCGGAAATGACTACAACTTTTGAATTTTAAATGGCGCCCTCGGTATTTTTTCACTTTATTTGAAAGAAAATGTCACTCTATTGAATGAAAATGTCACTCTTTCGCATATGGTTTATTTGACATTATAACTTGCGGTTCGTAACGAAAATTTGACTCGAAATACAACATTTTGTGTGTGGTATCAAATTATTCGTAAAAAATGATTTTCCAAATATGCTAATGAGCCACCTTCGTTCCATTTGAAAAAATTGAGATATGATTAAAAATACGATTTGAGCATTTTCTACCTGGCTAGGACAAGACACTATAAACATTAGACGATCAAATCTATTTTTCCAAGGCTTTTTTATTAAGAATTAGTGTTTTTAACATAGCCAATAGATTAGCACTCTAGATTGAATTTTAAAATATAATTTTTTATTATGCGAGAATGTCAAAAGTTGACACATTATATGTCATTCTATTCAGAATTTAATTTTCTATCGAATAAAGTAAAAAAATACCGAGGTTGCCATTTAAAAATCAAAAGTTGTAGTCATTTCCGGTGAAACAGGAAGTGACCAAAAACAATTGAATACGTAAATCAATCCTAATTTATGTCATATACCAACATACCAATTCTCGTTTTTTATCTGAAAAAATAAAAAGCCATAGGGGTGAGCCACTTTTGAGACGCACCCGGTATTGATAAATAAGGTCTAAATAATTATAGAAAAAATAATTTTCTATGAAATCTTGAAGAGATAGGTGAAAATTGTATAATAAAATTTGATAGACAATTAAATTGTGCATCGGATTCATCTAAAATATACAGGGTATTCCATTTAAATTAAACAAGTTATTGCCGTTTAAATCTAGTAAGTATTAAAAATAAATTTCTAGACACTCTGTATAAGGTGGTATTATTTTTTTATTGCGACACAAAATTTAGTAAAAAGAAAAACTTCAGTACAATATTTGGTTTTAAAAACTTGAATACGCATAGAGAAATGAAGCATTAAAATTATTGTTACTGCATTTTCACAGAATCGTAAATATTTCAAAAATGGTAAGATTAAAATGCGGTAAACCTTAATCAAATTTACCTTTATTTTAATCGCAGAAACTAAAAATGTTATAATATACAGGATGTTCCATTTAAAAATAAACTTTGATATTTTTTCTTTATTTGGGACACTCTGTACCTTTTGAAAATAATTTTAAATTGTAGCTTTAGTAGTCTTTCAACGATCCCATCACGCACAGTTTCCAAATATCTAAACATTTAGCTACAATATTCCGTGTTGAAAATGAAGTGAATATTCCTGTAAATATGTTTACTTACCAAATGCACAGGGTGTTGCATTAAACATTCCCTTGGGAGGACATTGACCATCGCCACTAGTACAGTAACACTTATCTTCGTTATCAAAGGTATCCAAGGGTAGTTTGTATCTGTAATAAAACATTACACCATTATTTAAATTCTCGTAGGGGTAATACCGTATGATCGAAAAAAAACGGCGTCATAGATGGCTAGGAAGTGACAATCGATGACAAGTCAGTCTCTATATGTCAAACAGCCTGTGGAAAAAATGGGGCGGGTATTTTGGATAAAAAACACTTTCCTGTAATCTTAGGTGTATTCCTAACGTTTCATTTTTTGAATTATCCCATTATCTTTATTCATTTATGAGCTACACATTTTTAAATAGTGTACTGATATTTTTACAATCTTAAATTTCTTGAAAATGGAGCTCTCAATGCTCACCGTTATATTGAGGATGTCCACCAAGAAGTTGTCGTTTTTACTTGCTACTTTCATTGGAAGTCAGATTACACTGGTGTATGATCGATAATGCCATATAATGCCAGGTCCCACGTTGCGCGGGGTAACGAGTTAGGAGTACGAGTAGTTAACGAGTACCTGGATGAGGTTAGATTACGAAGACTGGAACTTAAAAAAGCTGTTCGTCGTCGTCCTATTCCAACACAAAGTTTACAAGAGCTATAGCTAGCATTAACGGAGCTAGCTTTACCTCTTGTAAAGGGTATTTATCAAGCTATAGATTATAGATCAAGAAAGAATAACTACCCTTATTCATTCGATACGACGAAAACCTCGAGCTGTTATTGCTGCGAGAAGTGATGGACATACACGCTATTAAAATTATTATAAAATTGTTGTTTTTGTCAATAAAACAATCTCTAAAATCAATATTTTACTTAAAAATGTGTAGCTCATAAAAGACTAGAAATAGTGTGATAATTCAAAGAATGAAATCTTAGGAATAGATCTAAGATTACAGGAAAGTGTTGTTTATCCAAAATGCCCGTCTCCTTTTTTCCACAGGGGGTTTTGAATTTATTGCAGAAAACAACGTTTTGATTTACCCCGGTATAAACCCACTTAACCGAAGAATATAAACCATTAAAAGAATAAAAAATAATGCTAATAAATTTATCTTCACACTGATACCATAATCATAAAAATCGGAGTACAAAGTAAAAAGTTATGAACTTAGACAAATTTTAGTGTTTTATTTTGTTTTTTCTTGTTGGAGCGGGAAAGAATGAAGGCAACTTGATATTCAAAGGCAGATGATTGCACATTTTTTTGGAATTGTACGGTATTGAGCCTTTAACTAGTTCTGAGCTCGGGGTTGGCAGATAAAGATCGTGCTCCGCATTCCTAAGTGGATAGTTGTGAGATGGCCTTTCGGGAATAGCAGATATGTGCTTACGGATTAAGCAAACGGATTCAAAAATGAATAAAGAAGGAAGAGTCAGTATTTTGAAATTTTTAAAGAAATTCTGGCAGTGACTTCTACTGTTCAGTCTTCTACTGTTCAGTCTCTTTTGAAGTTTGAAAATACGATCAAATTTTGTCGCGCAGCAAGTACCCCAGAATGGAAGGGCATAACAAAAATGCGATTCAAAAGGAGCATAATAGACTATTCTAGAGGTTGATAAGTTAAGTTCCTTAAAAACCGATCTGAGCGCAAAACAGGCAGCGCTTAGTTTCTTTGATAAAGCTTCGATGTGCAAGTTCCATTTTAACGAGTTGTCTACAACAAGTCCTAAGAATTTCACGAACATCCACGACGTCAAGAGTGGTGTTATTAAGTACAAAAGGTTGTATAGTACTTTTATATGACAAAACTTTAGTTTTTGATAGGTTGAGGCAAAGATAATTCTAACTATAATATTCTTTGATTGAGGCATAGAAGATTGGAGATTAGAATCGCACCAAAATTTAATGGTGCGTAAATCACTGGATATAGTATTATATAGCGCCGTAACATCTTGGCCGCTCCAAGTGAAACTAGTATCGTCCGCGAAGAGGCAGATTTTACCGCTAATGTCTAGATTTGCAATGTCATTGATTAACACCAGAAACAAATTATGCCCTTACCGTTTCCATCCACACCGTGGGTATCATCAACCTATCTGGATAAGCGCTAAGTTGACCAATGCCGAAGCTTTTCTGCAACTCTATGTTGACCTGGAACTTAATCTTGCCTCCAACTAAGACTCCAAGGCTCGGATGAATGTTAGCGTATGTGTCGTTCATCAAAAAGTCATCTTTTAGACCGCTTATATTGGCTCTTAATTCTGGATCACCATTATAAAAGTGAGGCCAGGAATAATACAATGGAGCATCTGAAAGAAATAAGAATTAATAATTAATTTTTGGTTCAAAAATTAACATAACATTACAATATGCCAGTATACCGGATGCGTCTCAAAAGTTATAAGATAAAGTTTTCAGATAAAAAACGAGATTTGGTATGTTAGTATATGACATAAATTAAGATTGATTGACGTATTCAACTGTTTTTGATCACTTCCTGTTTCACCAAAAATGACTACAACTTTTGATTTTTAAATGATATCCTCGGTATTTTTTTACTTTATTTGATAGAAAATGACACTCTGAATAGAATGACACATCATATGTCAACTTTTGACATTTTCGCATATGGTTTATTTAAAATTATAACTTGCGGTTCGTAACGAAAATTTGACTCGAAATACCAAGTATGTGGTATCAAATTATTCGTAAAAAAGATGGTTTAATGTGCATTCAGGAAGTTCAGAGCACATTTTGAGAGTAAGCCCATCAGTCCCAGATGAGGATTTGTTTTTAATACTATTAATTGTACTACGGAGCTCATCTAATGCTACGGGCGTGAAGAAGAAACTGTGTAAATTCTCATGTGCTTTAGGGAGATATGAAAGTAAATCATGGGAAGGAGTTATGGTGTTCAATAAATTTTTAGCCAAATTAACAAAGTAAGTGTTTAAATCTTCAGGTGAATTAAAGACTGTGCCAGACGAAGAAGTCTTATTCCTTAAGTCATTTACAATAGCCCAAGTCTCCTTAGCGACATTACCGGCTTTGGCTAGCCTCGCATTATAATAAATGTCCTTGGCAGCTTTTATAGTCTTACGATAAAACCTTTCTATAAAGTTTCACGTAATTATGAAAGAAGACGCTGTCCGTGAATTTCTTAAGGTGAGATAATGAGCGCATGTTCTTTGCAGTTATACGCAAGCCTGTAGTAGACCAGGGTATACCTTGTTTACTTTCGATAGGCCTAAGAGGAAACGCCTTGTACGCCAGATTAGACAAGGTATCCATAAATCTAGAAAATTCGGAATCGACGTCAGCCAAGAGGATAACCCACTCAGTTGTTAGACATAGGTGGTGAAAATTTAGAAAATTTTCATCCGAAAAAATACGGCCCAATTTGCGCGAGGTATTTTTGCATTTGGATTTTGGCAAAAACTTTGTCAATACTGCCTCATGATTAGAGAAACCTGAGTGAAGGACTCTACAGTCAACGACAAGACACTAAAAACATTAGACGATTAAATATATTTTTCCAAGTCTCCTTTAATAAGAATTAGTGTTTTTAACATAGCCATGACACTCTAGATTGAATTTTAAAATACAATTTTTTATTAAGCGAGAATGTCAATAGTTGACATATGATATGTCATTCTATTCAGAATTCAATTTTCTATCGAATAAAGTAAAAAAATACCGAGGTTGCCATTTAATAATCAAAAGTTGTAGTCATTTCCGGTGAAACACGAAGTGATCAAAAACAAATGAATACCGTAAATCAATCCTAATTTATGTCATATACTAACATACCAATTCTCGTTTCTTTATCTGAAAAAATAAAAAAGTTATAGTGGTAGGAGCCACTTTTGGGACGCACCCATAAATAAGGTCTAAATAATTATAAAAAATATATTTTCTATGAAAACTTGAAGAGATAGGTAAAAATGGTATAATACAATTTGATAGACAATTAAATTGTGCATCGGATTCATCTAAAATATACAGGGTGTTCCATTTAAATTAAACAAGTTATTGCCGTTTAAATCTAGTAAGTATTAAAAATAAATTTCTAGACACTCTGTATAAGGTGGTATTATTTTTGTTATTGCGACACAAAATTTAGTAAAAAGAAAAACTTCAGTATAATATTTCGTTTTAAAAACTTGAATAGGCATAGAGAAATGAAGCAATAAAATTATTGTTACTGCATTTTCACAAAATCGTAAATATTTCAAAAATGGTAAGATTAAAATGCGGTAAACCTTAATCAAATTTAGCTTTATTTTAATCGCAGAAAATAAAATGTTATAATATACAGGATGTTCCATTTAAAAATAAACTTTGATATTTTTTCTTTATTTGGGACACTCTGTACATTTTGAAAATAATTTTAAATTGTAGCTTTAGTAGTCTTTCAACGATCCCATCACGCACAGTTTCCAAATATCTAAACATTTAGCTACAATATTCCGTGTCGAAAATGAAGTGAATATTCCTGTAAATATGTTTACTTACCAAATGCACAGGGTGTTGCATTGAACATTCCCTTGGGAGGACATTGACCATTGCCACTAGTACAGTAACATTTATCTTCGTTATCAAAGGTATCCAAGGGTAGTTTGTATCTGTAATAAAACATTACACCATTATTTAAATTCTCGTAGGGGTAATACCGTATGATCGAAAAAAAACGGCGTCATAGATGGCTAGGAAGTGACAATCGATGACAAGTCAGTCTCTATATGTCATTTCTAGTTTTAAGTCAATCTTTAGACATAGAACTTTTCAAAAACTAACACTAATTATAGAAAGAAAAGGATAGAAAAATTTAGAATTTAAAGCTTGACCTCGCCAAAATTATCATTGAATGATATTCCCCAGCCGTCTTTGACGCCGTTTTTTTTTCTTGTTATATATGATATTAAATTAATAAGAGTCCATTTCACTAGACCGAAAAAGTAGCAAAATAACCGTTCGGCATTTTTACGTTTTGTGTAAAACTGGCTAGGTATTTTTACACAAATGAAGAAGGAAATTAAAGATAAAGGATTATACTATATCCTTATTGTAGCATATTTTTAGACAACTTCTTTATTTTTAAAATTTTGACGGTTAAACATCAATAAAATATTCCTTATGTTTGGACTAAATTTTCTCAAAAATAAAGACATAATTTAAAATTCCGTTACGATATGGAAATAGATTGAAGTTTTGTGATTACAGTGATATATAATTTATATGGTTTTGTAACAAATTGCTCGCTATTTTATGGCAAATGCTTAAGCTCTGCAAACCTTAATCAAACCTTAATCAAAGTACGTATGTTTGCAATTTTGGGTGTGTCTTAACATGACAGGATCGGGCTAAACCTTAGGCAAATTTCTGAAATAATAGGTTTGTTTCAACCCGCCGCAGAACAGTCATAACAGTAACCAAGACAGAAGCATCAGCCGGACGCCGGACCAGAATCAGCTGTTAAAAATCGATAATCCCTGCCAATATGCTTTAATGCGCAAGTCAACCCAAACAGTTCTCAATTTGGACCCTGTACCGAAATTACCGTTCTGAAATCGTAACTAAACGATCCCAACAGGTGGATGACACTTCTTATGGGAGAACTGGCAATGGTTGAAAACTTGACTACAAGCGATTTTCTAGGAATCTTCCTTACCGATAAATTATTGACAAGAGTGACAGATAATACCTTGACGATCTTTCAGTATTCCGGTTCATCTCTTTTTCTTTCTAAAGTGCGCGTTGAAAGGAGACAAAAACAATTTTTGGTGACCCATAATTTGTTATTCGAACACCACTTTTCTCCTTGTCGGGTCGTTGACGTTGACTTGTCGCCATATTATTTCTTTTGTTTACACGCTGCATTTTGCTTTGCAAATTTAATACATAAATTATTTAGGCAAATATATAGGTTTTTAATAAAACTCCTCGGACTAACGTGTAGGTAAGTGTTGATAATTTTTTTTTCATCTTAACATGCTCATTGTCGTTCTCCTGATTTTAGGTGACAGAAAAGGATCATCAAATCAAATTGAATTTTATATTTTCCTTCCTATTTATCCTTCCTAAATATCAACGAGATGAGCCATCGGAAGAAAGGGACCATAGTACAAAACAGAAAGGTGATCTTTTTTCTTTCCACTTCGGATATTGAAATTATTATATACTGTAGTCGTGTTCGGCATTATGCTCTGAGAAATATAGATAAACAAAGAACAACAGATATAAAGCATCCCAGAGGAAAAGAGAGGCAATACCTGTATGTACTCTCTCTGATATTTGTGAAAGTTACAGCAAAGTATTGTTGTAAATGTCATCTTTTTGATCGACCTGAAAACTTCGAGCAAAAAGATGACACTTTCAACAATACCCTGACAGATATCAGAGACGATACATGTTTTTCCTCTCTTTTCGCCTGGAATACTTTTAATTTATTATTCTTTGTTTATCTAGATTTCTCAGAGCACTATGAATGAACTCAGCTTGTATGTTTGAAATAATCGTCCAGTTGGCTTAAAAATGATGATCGAAGACATTTCCCATATAATTTTACTTTGAAAATTATGATATATCTTTTATTTCTAAGCCATCTATGACGCCCTTTTTCTCAGTTTTGTTATAATTAATTTTGTCTCTTGATCTACTTGTAACATTATTCTTTTAATTTTATGAATTTATTGTGGTGAAATTAATTTCTGTTGTATATTTGATATTGATATTAAACATATTTATAAAAAATGGTGTATTGTTTGTGTTTTTGTGTATGTCATAATTAAAAATAAATGAAGAAATAAAATTTTTTATTTTTTGAAACTTCCCGCCATGAGTGACAATTTAGTCCGTAGTTCCTACAAGCGAAATTGGGGACGCTAGTAGCGGTAGACTTGTCAACAGTGTCAAATTTAAACGTCAATTTCACTTTCCAATATTTAGCAAGGCGCTCGCACTTCTTCTTGTGTATGTGTTTTGTGGATCCCAAGGTAGGTTGGTACGCAAATAGGATCGTCCGATAACCGTCAAATCTTGGTTGGAACACATTTGAATTACTGCGCACGAGCATAATCGTTCTGTCACGGTTCTGCGGCGGGTTAGAACAAACCTATATTTCCTTCGGCCACACACCCGCTTTACCCGACCCCTGAGACCGACCCGAACAGTACAGTTTAATAGACTTTAAAGTGTTCTTTTCGAAATTGTAAAACTTATAAAGGACTCACCTGTGAACCGGGATGCTATCCAAAATACTACTGGTTTTCTCAAACTTCAACGACAATTTCCTGCACATGTGTGGCATATAAAAGGTCAGGTCCCTCTTCTCCCTCAGAGCAGTTAAAGGGTAAATAATACCGTCGGATGCTTGAACGCTGTTGCAGGAATCAGATCCCCACAGATCGATTTGGGTTTGTCCGTTGAACTTTTCAACTTGACCTCGCCTGCTGATGTCGTGCAGGCCCGTGTTGACCGTTATGACGTCAGGCTGAAGACCTGCCTTCCAAACAAGCAATCCTGGAAAGATAGAATAAGTAGTTTTATCAAATAAAACATATCCTAATAGGATAATTCGATAAATTTTATGATTTTTTTTTGAAACTTAATAGTCTGTGGCTTGATGCATTCTCCGCCGGTGCTGCCACCATCGGAGAATATCGTAAACAATCGTCATATTCAAATAATAATATATGTATACCCAAGTAGCATTTTCACGACTTGCGACCACATGTTTACTAAACACAACGTAGGATTAGTTACAAAAAATAGTTAGCTCCCTACCTTGGGTATTAAAATAAATTTAAACGTTTTTATAACGTTGTGCCGACGTTGGACTAGTACTACAGCAAAGTAGAAGCTTCTGCGACGTCGAATAAACGTTGTCTTGTAACCTTTTTTGCTTAAGTGATCTAGACCACCTACAACAACTTTCAAACCTGGGTCAAAGAAAAACATGTTGAGAACTTCAGAGAAAAGGTATAGCTAGCTTATTTCCTGAAGTTATCCACCACCTTAAAGCCGTCAACACGGTAGTGTAAATTTTCGATGCTCTCTCTCTCTCTCTCTCTCTCTCTCTCTCTCTCTGCACCATGAGAGAATAGAGTTGTCTTAATCGGGGCGGGAAAGTGAAATAGAAAAAGCGGTTCCACCGTTTCCACGGAAATCTGAAATAAAATAGTTCCAGCCCTAGCCACTAGGTGGTAGTGCAATTAATTTTTAGGTTAAGAAGTTGCTACTAGTTATTGGCAGATGGCGTTAAATCAGAATTTTTTTGTAGTTTCCATAGTTTCCAACGGCCATTGTCATATTATTGTCAAATTCTCAAAAAATATTGTCGTTGTCATACGCCAATCATAATATTATCAAATAAATGATTATCAAAACGTTTTTCAAACTATAATTTGTTATATGTGTTGTGTATGTGTTTTAATTAGACAATTCCTTTTGTTTGTGGTCCTAAAAATGTAATGTAAGTCTTTTATTTTTGCCATCATTTAAGTACCTATTTATATTTACTCCATTTACAAAACTTTGGGCGTATTACGTTGGTCTTGTTTTATTATAATAAATGTTGTTTAAATATTTGACTTATAAATAAAAACTTTAAATAATAAATAATATTTCACATGTTTGGCTTTAATTTTATTTAATAATTGTATAAATTATACTGTTAAATCTTATTTTTTACACATAACAACGATACTTGTTATTAGTATTGTTGAATTTGTGTAAAAAATAAGATTTAATAATCAAATTTAATTATTTTAGGGTAAAATTCAATAAATACGCTCATTTAAAAAGCCCACGCTTCGATCCATTTAAAACAAGCCCTACTCAACAGATGGCGCCACTTCTGTAGGACCATTTTTCAGTATGGCAGAGTCCATTCTTTTTCTAGCTAGGTATACATCATTGCCTGGAAACTTATATGGTGAAATTGTGATAAAATAATTTAGTACTCACTAAAAACACGGTATGTCGTTAGTGGTAGGAAAAATAATTTTTAGAGGTTAATAGTTTATTTGGTTGCCTGTGATATGCATATACAGGGTGTTTCCTAATTAATCTAAAAAATAAAAAATCGTTAGAAAACGGCTTAAGGCGGACTCTTAATAAGTATATTTATTTTTTTCTCGGCAACTGTAGATCAGAAAAGAAGTACTTTAGACCCAATGGTTATATAAAAATTGTTTTAAGAACACATGAGAAATCACACCACAATTTTTTAGACTAATTAGTAAACACCCTGTATATTGTCAACTTGACAATGATTGTTAATAAATCAAAAAATACCTTTTCTGTGAAAAAAGCCCGATTTTCGCAGGAAAAATTTTGGTTTTTATTGAATTTGGGCCTGCGTCTGCAAATACCGGTATGTTTTTTAATATTCTATCTATCTAAATTTTAAATATCATAGTCAGAAATAGTTTTATTATTCTGTAAAAATAGTGTACTAAATAATAATGTACTAATAATAGTGTACAGTTAAAAAACTGTAAAAATAGTATACTTATAAGTTTTATCAAATATTGTGATTTACTTTCTACCTTGTAGTCAAAATTAATATTTAATAAACTGTAAAATATATATATTCTTATGTTTTATTAAAGTAACTGATATACTAATATATCAGTGTAACTTTAAAACTAAATCCTTTGAAATCAAATATAAACATAAAAAATATTTACAGCAGAAAGGCGAAGGCGCTGGGTTAAACGTAGTCTCTACTAAGAACAAAGAATGGTACCTTTAAGATTTATAATAAATAAATATTAGCATTGTTTCTAACGTTTCATTTTTTACTTTAAGGCAGTAGTGCCTAAACAAGTGTCACTGAAGTGTCAAGTGTCTGTGAATGTTATTGCACCCAACAACCACATGACCATAGATAAATGCAACAAGTTTAGATTGGAAAGCCCGTAAAAATTTTAGGTCGCGAAATTATTTTGGGTCGCGACCGTTATACGCGATCTGGCGCTGCTATAGCGGTTGCTAAGAACAACGGCAAACAAAAACAGAAATAATTTTCTCTTGTCAAAGTCAGAATCTTCAAAAATCATAATAATCTTTCAAAATCCAAACCGCTCTCATTAAAGAAATTCCGAAAAGTGTTTATATAGCGTCCATTTTCAAAGTAATAATTGCTATCTTGTGAGTTTAATTCAAGTTTTATTTACTCCAACCGGTGACAATTGTGAAAAAGTGGCATTAAAAACCAAAGAATATACCTAGCTAGAAAAAGAATGGACTCTGCCTTACTGAAAAATGGTCCTACAGAAGTGGCGCCATCTATTGAATAGGGCTTGTTTTAAATGGATCGAAGCGCGGGCTTTTTAAATGAGCGTATTTATTGAATTTTACTCTAAAATATATATATAATTAAATTTGATTATTAAATCTTATTTTTTACACAAATTCAACTATACTATTATAATAACAAGTATCGTTGTGATACTTGTAACAGTGTAATTTATCCAACTATTAAATAAAATTAAAGCCAAACATGTGTAAATATTATTTATTATTTCAAGTTTTTATTTATAAGTCAAATATTTAAACATCGTTTATTATAATAAAACAAGACCAACGTAATACGCCCAAAGTTTTGTAAATGGAGTAAATATAAATAGGTACTTAAATGATGGCAAAAATAAAAGACTTACATTATATTTTTAGGGCCACAAACAAAAGGAATTGTCTAATAAAAACCTTTGAATAAGAAGACTAAGGAAGGAGCATATCAAAAATCTTAGGTACACCGCGATGGGCCTCAAATATGGCCGACTTAAATTCCGGTTTATCAGTGTCGTTCTAATTTTATTTAAAAAATGTAAAACTATGATGTCGGGTAGACGTGGGGTAGACTCAATAATTTGTTGTTTTATTTTACGTTGTGAATAAATGTTGGTAGTTATTAAAATTGTTATAAAAATATATAATTCTAATAAAAATAGATAAGTTATAATAAGTATTTATTACCACAAACATCCGATACGCTACTGAAGCAGGTAAGTCAAATTAACGTAACTAAATTCTTTGACGAGTAATAAATAAAAGCTAAAATGCAAGAAAAATATATAATTTAGTTAATTTAAGTGAATTTCATAAATGATCGGTTTACTACACGTATGTATATTATATAGTCACTTACTAGCGAAAACTTGTTCCATTATTTCACTCGATTTTTGCCGAGATCTACCGCACGCTACACAACCAACTATTTTAGAGTCTTTTTCGATAAATCGCGATAGTGTCACTATTAATTTAAGTGCTGCCACAATTTCCATCTAGATTTACTATCTTTATACAACTATCAGTAGTAGAATAAATAATAAATAACATAAAATAAGCTCCGTAAAGACTGACAAATCCACAAAATTTCAAATCAAATTCAAATGTGTCAAATGAATCGTCAAACAGAACTGTCAAGGATCCCCACCCTAGAGTGCTTTTATGATGCTTTTTCCGCCCACCATGCATGAATACATGGATAGCATATTATGCTCCTTCCTTAGTCTTCTTATTCAAAGATAAAAACACAAATAACAAATTATAGTTTGAAAAACGTTTTGATAATCATTTTTGATATTATGATTGGCGCTATGACAACGACAATATTTTTTGAGTATTTGACAATAGTATGACAATGGCCGTTGGAAACTACGGAAACTACAAAAAAAAATCTGATTGAACGCCATCTGGCAATAACTAGTAGCAATTTCTTAACCTAAAAAATAATTGCACCACCACCTAGCACCTGAGGCTGGAACTATTTTATTTGAAATTTCCGTGGAAATGGTGGAACCGCTTTTGCTATTTCCCTTTCCGACCCCTGTTAAAAACTTAAAAAGCTGTGCTGTGAACTGTGAACTGCAAAAACCATCGTGGATCGTGGCATAACGTCGGTTTCCAATGTTTCATAGGTATTTCATACATGCGTCCTTATATAAAATAAAGTTTCTTGTATGCAACACACTGTATTTTATTTATAAAATTAAACGAAAATAATAATAAATTTGAATAAACAATATTTGGGCGATATAATTCCGGAAAAAGCCGAACCGCTCCGAAATTTTCAAAAGTTTTGGGTCGCGACCGTTGCAAGGATAGCGCCAAATAGTGTTTACATTGTCCTTATGGGCACTTTCCAATCTAAACTTGTTTCATTTATCTATGCACATGACTACGCGCTCCTTTACGTGTTAACCTTTTTTTCGACAAATTTATTAACATTTGAAATTGTCACAACACAAAGCGACGCCCAGTTCGGGTTCTTTTTCACTTAATTTTTACTACCCGAAACAGCGTTACATCACACAAATCTCATACCTGAGTGTTTTATATTTTCTATATCTGCACTATTAAAAACTAAAATACTTAAATATTATGACAAAGCCACGATTTTAATATTATTTCAATGCGATCAACATCGAAACTGCGTGACATACAGAGCGAAAACTTCTAATTTCTGCCGCACCGCACGCTGCGGTTGGAATTTTTAAAATCAACTGAAATGCACCAAGCACCAAGCCTTTAGGATCTAAGGTTCAATTAGACTTACCGAAATGCTCAAACACTCTCATGTCGTGGAATTTCAGGTAACTTTTGGCCCAATCATAGAAGTTGTCTTCGTAGCCATTCACAAACTGGTCGACAGTCAAAGGAATGAACGCACCGACAGATAGTGTAGAGAGAAAACCTGAGAAACTGACTCTCAGGAAAAAGTTGTAGTGTTTCGCTATGGACACTCCCGCCAGTACTGGAATGTTCGGTACCATTACAAGGTCGTGTTTGGTTCCGTTGGATAGCTCTGGACTGAAACTGTAAAAATATATAGATTTTAAAATTTATTTTAATATTATTATATTATATTCAAATTTATAATGACTTGCATCTAAGAAACGTACACGTGGAGTAGTCAGATTTACCTTTATAAGTTTATAAAATATTGTTTTTTCCATAGGAATTGTTAAAATTGCCTTATATCTATCAAAAATCTATACTAATATATAAAATCCTTAAGTGACTGAAATACTGATTAATCACGATCCTGCTCAAACCACTCAACGTAAGAAGCTCAATTTTGGCATACAGGTTGATTCTAGGGTGTAGAGGTTCGATAAGAAGGGAGTTTTCGAAATTCCAGTTCCAAGAGGGTGAAACCACCCCTCAAATACTGCAATATTTTTTATTTAAAAAAAGGTCAAGTTTCCGAAAAAACGCTTAAACACGTATATTTTATTTTGTTTTTTTACATATTTTAAGACTTTTTAAAAATGTATACAGGGTGTTTCGAAAAATCTGGTCATCGACTAATCACTATCCTGCTTAAAGCGCTTGACGTAAAAAGCTGATGTTTGGAAAACAGATTGACTTTAGGGTGTAGAGGTTCATTAAGAAGGGATTTTTCCAAACTGGAATTCTAAGGGGGTGAAACTATCCCTCAAATATTAAAATAATTTTTATTTAAAAACCGGTGAGTTTTTCGGAAAAACTCTTAAACACGTATATTTTATTTTGTTATTTTACATATTTTAAGATTTTTTACAAATTTATACAGGGTGTTTCATAAAATATGACCATTGAGTAATCACTATTCTGCTTAAACTGCTTTACGTTGAAAGCTGATTTTTGGCAAACGGATTGACTGTGGGGTGTAGAGGTTTGATAAGGAGAGGTTTCTCGAATCTCAAATTCCAAGAGGGTGAAAACGCCTCTCAAATATTACAATATTTGTTACGTAAAAAACGGTTAGTATTTCGGGAAAACGCTTGGACAAGCATAATTTATTTGGTTTTTTTACATATTTTAAAATTTTTTAAAAAATCATACAGGGTGTTAAAAAAAGTTGGGTAATTTTTTAACCACGATTCTGCTTAAACTGCTTGACGTAAAAAGCTTATTTTTGGATTTTTCGAAAGTCAAATTCCAACGAGATGAAACTACCCCTCAAATATTACCAAGTTATAAAATAATATCGCCATATTGCTTTTTTCTCATGCTGACATAAATGTGAGAAAATTTTATCCAGTTTGTATGTTAATGGAAATTCTTGCTTTGCTTTATCATCACCATTACAAATGATTAATTCGACGCGAACGAAGTCGCTGGTACACACTAGTAATTTTTATAAAAATCGAAGAAGACACTATTAATAGACAATGTGAAGTCAACAAATCCCTTAACGACGAAGAAGATGTATCGATGAACTAATTTATATCTAAAATTTCAAATATTTTCTGAGATAAAATGGTCCAAGTCCAAATCATTCTTAAAAATGAACACAGTTGTATTTTGAGTGACTTTAGTTTGCAGTTATACAATTTAAAATATAATAAAGCATTGTGTCAAGTTTTATTCTCCAGCTGGCTTTATTTTAATTAAGGAACATTAAAAAACTTAAACTCTCATTTTCTCTATAATAATTATCTTCTAGGACTTGATCCAGTTCACTTCTGAACACCTCATGTAAGTGAACGGACTGTGAGAAGAAGATTAAACGAAGTAAAGCTTATGTGAAGAAAGCCTGTTTCGGGACCACAAATTGCTAGGTCTGTTGACTAGGACCAAAAAGCAAATGCATAGATTTAATGTTAAAATTACAAAAAAAATATTAGTGTCATCTTCAAAAACGAATATCTCCAACAAAAATAAAGCTATTGGGATGAACCAAAAAACAAACTATCCAGGAAGGATGTACCTAGATGACAAAATTGTTTTTAAATTCCTAGCTGTCTTAACATTTTCTACAGGGTGTTTCAAACTTTCATCAAAATACTAACGTTTTGTTTTTCCTCGTATATTTGACAGACCGGAACTTTCATTTTTAATTTAGAAAGACATACTAAAAAGTCAAATATTTTAGCTACAAATTACTTAAAAAATCATCAAAATCGGTCCACTAGAACACAATATATTAAACTTTAAAATAGATCAAAATTTTAAGGGGCCTAGGTCTATTACTTACATATAAGTTCGTTTTTCTTGATAGGATACTGTTCCATCGACTTTGTTAAACCTAACATTAACTCTCTCTAGTTTTTCATAGTAAACGTAAGGCCCAATTTCCTCAACGTGAAGCTTCTTGTCTTTCCTCATTTCGTATCTCTCAACGTTCGTATAATTGAAGATGTAAATCTTGATGTAAGGTTTAACTGTCGGCGATCTCCACATTTCGTAGGTAGGGGCTTCATCTGTGATCACTAGCAAAGAGTTGATTTGCTTCTTGTAGACCTCCGTGAACCACATGGTGATGGTTCCGATTGTGCTGAACGTGAACAGGATTATTAACCCTGTGAGTACTGCAAGAAAAATAAAGATTATCATTGAGATGTAGAAAATATTTCTTTAAATATAAATCCTTCGGTTTTAAGACACTTTGTATACATAAATCATTATTGATTTTTTTAAATTTTTATTTACACACTAGGGAGAGGGAAATCAGACAATGACGAGATATGATAGGTGTGAGGTAATAGCTTTTATCTACGTTTAACTATAAAAACACATAATGAATTTTAAAAATTATTGTACTGAACTATATACCTATCCTAAAAATCAATTACCTTAATACCTTTGTTCAAATAACACCATGCATGGCAATGTCAATATGACAGTAAATAATATTGATGTCACTAGTTTAAAAAATGAGCGATTCGGAAAGTATTCCCTCTGACATTGAAGAAGAGGCATACAGAGCCATTTTTGGATTGCTTCCAGCAAGATCGAAACAGAAGTATGAATATTTTTCATACATTTTCATACTCAAATATGAAAAATGGTGCACCGAAAAAAAGTACACAACTGTGGAAATGAAAAGGTACTCATAACATATTATAATAAATAAATTTTCATGTTTGGTTTGGTTTGGATAATTATGTTGTTGAAAAGTTTATTTTAGAATTAAACAAGCTTATATTAAAACATAAATAAACTAATTTAACATTTATAACATTTTAAGATGACCTAAGTACAATATTTAAAAAAATAATATACATAGTGTACATATTGCGTATCTTAATTGCACAGCATTAAGTAATTTTGTTTTTGATCTTCGCTAATTGTTATTACTTACAACTATAAACAATAATAATTTTTCAAGGTTCTATGATCTTGTCAAGTAACTAGTTATGTCTGTAGACCTTTTTTTTTAAATTACAGTGATTAATTAATAAGATATATCCTTTAACTACCAATGGAGATATCAATTGTAGAACAAATTGTAACAGGAAAAAGCCCATCAATTCAAGTGTCAAATGTGTCAAATAAAACGCCAAAAAAAACTGACAAAAATGGAGGGTCATAATGTTTTTTTCCTTTGTTTTTATTTAAAGGATTTTTGCAATGTAGAAATAATTGTTATGCTCAAGCTGATATCTTCAACAGATGCCTGATAAAAAAAGACAACATTCCTGAAGACTGGAATCTGGCGTACATCAGCTCTATTTTTAAGAAATGAGACAAAAAAAGATGTAGCAACTACAGAGGCATTAGTTTGACAAGCTCAATGGGAAGGTTGTATGGCAGGATAAGAGAAAAAGGAGAAGAAAGCTTCGAAGAAATAGAAGAACAAGGTGGTTTCCGCACTGGGTGTTCTTGTACTGACAACATATTTGTGTTACAACAAATAATTGAAAAAAGGAGAGCTCGAAATTTGGACAAGCCTATGACACGGTGCCTTTGAAGAAATTATTTGAAATCTTGGTTGAGACAAATGTGAGTAAAACATATATCAATGCAATCTGGAATATGTACAAAAATCCAAAAAATATGATCAGACAGGGGAAGTTCCTATCGGAATCCTTCCTGACATCAAAAGGAGTCAGATAGGGGTGCAGTTTATCACCTACCTTATTTAAAATATATATCCAAGAGGCATTGAAAAACTGGAGAAAGAAGAATAGAGCTATGGGAATAGAGATTGACAACCACTCTCTATCGACCTTGTTTTTTGCAGACGACCAAATTATCATTGCAGGTTGTGAGGAGGATGCCGACTATATATTCAGGAAACTTGAGGAAGAATACGATAGATGGGGACTCAATATCAACCTCACAAAAACCGAATACCTGAAAGTAGGAGAAGAACAAACTGAATATTCTGAACTACACATACATGAATTTAAAAGGTGTAGCGAATATAAATATTTAGGAAGTATTATATCTGAAGATTGGAACTCCAAGAAAGATATACATAGCAGAGTTCAACAAGGGAAGAAAGTAATCGATCTTTTAAACCGTCTCCTGTGGTCAAATAAAACATCCATCCAAACAAAGCTAAGGATTTACAAAGCAATCGTGGAGCCAATTTTAACATGCGGTGCCGAATGCTGGCAATTTACATCAAAAGAAAGAAGGATCGTCGAGTCAGTGGAGATGGCCTTTTTCAGAAGAGCATGTCAAATATCAAGGATGGAACACATTAGAAATGAGGAGATCAGGCAAAGAAAAAGACGAATATATACCAGCACCGGCCACATCGAATCGAGACAGCTACTATGGTATGGGCACGTAAAAAGAATGGGAGGGGAAAGATGACCAAAAAGAGCAATGGAGTATCGTCCACAAAGCAGCAGGAAAAGAGGAAGACCTACCACTACGTGGTTAGATGGAATAGACCAGTACATGAGAGATAGAGCTATTAACCAGGAAGAATGGCAAAATCGAACAATATGGAGGTCGAAATGCGGGATGCGGCAGAAGCTGTAGGACCCCCGCTTTATATATATATATATATATATATATATATATATATATATATATATATATATATATATATATATATATATATATATATATAATTGCATATGCTTCAAAATGATACGTCAATCATAGACAACATCTATATATAGGTTAATTCCAAGAATTTTGAAAAATGTTTTTCAGATTTTTAAAATTTGCCACTGTTTATCAAAAAGTTATAATGGTTTGACGTCAATACAATGCAAAATTTAATTCAAATAAGAATAATTTATTTTTCCAATGATTAAAAGTGTGATTTATTTTAATATGTTTGGACTTATTGGAGTTATCTGTTCTAAATTTTTTTGGTGTGTTATCTAACATTTTATATGTAGTTCAAATAATACAGCTATAATACAAATAGAACTCCCTGTATATTATTACATATTTCAATTCTTCCTTCAATTCTAAGCAAAAATCGAAAAACTTACGATGTATAGCTGGTTCCAAAAAAAAATGAATACGACTCTACACATTTTTTTCGAATATTTGGGCAGTGTATATATGTGTCAAGTATTTTGACACGTTAAAGTTATTGTGACATTGTATAAAACAACTTTGCTTTTGACAAAGTGGCAAATAAAGTTTTCAAAACGTCAGCATGACATGAGTAGAGAAATGGGGGACTGGTATCATAGAATATACTGCCCGAAATAATAAATGTTTCAAATCGTATTCAATTTTATTGGAACCAGCTGTACCTCAAAGCAACCGTTTCCGAGTTATTGACTTTTGAAAATATCACTTAAACAATTCGATTTAATTAATTTCGATGTGTGGTTTGATTTAATGATGCGATTCTGCCGAAGCTGTGATACTGTTGTAATGGGGTTTTAAATTCCTATTAGTTACTAGTAAATTTAATTATACAGGGTCGGTCATAAAGTTGTGTTATATCAAACTTTATTTTTTTTTAAATAAAACGGCCTGTATATTATTGCATATTTCAATTCCTTCAACTTTAAACAATAATCGTAATACACAATGTACAGGGTGTCCTATTAAGAATAGCTCTCGGCTGTATCTCGGACAGTATTAGCCGTAGGGATTACGGAAAAAAAATATTTATAACTAAAGAGGCTATGAGAAATTGCTGGAAATTATTTTCAAGTTTGTAAAACGGCCGCTAGGGGGCGCAACTGCTATGGAAAATAAGAAAATAGATTTTTTACGGAATTTTGCCCAGATAATGGGTACTATAAATAATAGCTTCATAATCTTCAGTAAATTTTGGATTTTTTTGTAAGAACCATTTTCCCCTATCTGCTAAAATAAAGTGGTGGGGGAAGGTTAGATCTATCTTTATTTTAATGTTAATAACTCCGGACTGGATGATCAGAATCGAATAAACGGGGGCTCGTTTAAAAGAGCGTTTCTTACTCTATATTATACCATAAAAAATAATAATAAGGTTTTGAACGTAGACGCTAGGGGGCGCTTTTTTATTATTTAACAAACATTGCGCGTTTTTTCAAAAAAATGAAATACGATACGACAAAATTATAATAAATACAAAAAAATATGCCTTTAATTACCTTATTTTTACAACACGGTATCAGTAACCCTCTTGATTATGCCCATTCTATGATGATATGAAGATTATGAAGCTATTATTTATAGTACCCATTATCTAGGCAAAATTCTGTAAAAATTCTATTTTCTTATTTTCCATAGCAGTTGCGCCCTCTAGCGGCTGTTTTACAAACTTGAAAATAATTTCCAGCAATTTATCATAGCCCCTTTAGTTATAATTTTTTTTCCGTAGGCCCTACGGCTAATACTTTCCAAGATACAGCCGAGAGCTATTCTTAGTAGGACACCCTGTACATAAATTGAAGAATTGAAATGTTAAACGAAAATTTTGTAATTTCCAGACTTGCTATACTTTCATTTATATATATTAAGTATCACAGATTCGGCAAAATGGCATCGTTAAATGAAACTGGACATATCGAAATTAATTAAATCAAATTGTTTAAGTGATATTTTCAAAAGTCAATAACTCGGAAACGGTTGGTATGAGGTACATTGTGTGTATTTCGATTTTTGCTTAGAACTGAAGAAAGAATTGAAATACGCAATAATATACAGGGGGTTCCAATTAAAAAAATGAAACTTTGATGTGCCACGGCTTTATGGCCGATCCTATATACTTAAATTTATTACCCACTAATAGATCTTTATAAACCCTATAACTTTTATATTTAACTTTTTGCTGTACCTCCTATATTTTACCTAATAATAGACCGTTTCCATACATAAAAGCGACCCTGTATATCCATAGTGTATTATATTCATCGCCTGTAACCTTTCCCAGATAAGAGATAACCTCTTCGGTCTAGACGCGTTCTGAGTCCTAATTAAAAATCGTAATGTTATAATACCCTTTTTCTTATTCATTAACAACTAAGTATGCTTAACCCGTTAATATCTTATTTACTATTTATTATTATTATTTTCTTTTAATCTTAATTCTTTTTTTTTCTGTATGCGAAGACGTGTTTGTTTGAAACAATCTGCGAAAAGCCGAAATTAATAATAACTTTTATTGAATAAAAAG